CTGCCATGTTTTGAGCAAATTCCAATTTTTCCATGATAGTTAGGCGTTTAGTATACCTGTGCTTTAACCTCTATAACACGTCCATACATAATCTTTCGGGCAGTAGATTCTTTTTCCCTGTGGTACTCCGTGTTTTCATTACTTCGCTATCCACTTTTTGTTGTTATCGCTTTCCAGTTCTTTTGACTTTTTTTGGATTTCTGCTCGGATTCAGGAGCGCACGCGATTCACATCAGACACCTCTGCCGCTGCAGATGTGGATGAACGGCGACGTGCAGCCGGAGATCTCCGGCTCGGCGGCGCCTGACTGTACTGGCGACATGCAGGCCCTCATCGACGAGATGCGTACGTTTTTCTGCCAATTTCAATCATTTTCACACATCTAGGCATACCATCTTTCTGTCATTGCCGTGATATTTTCTTGAAATTCTTCTCGTTGTTCTTCAAGTTCCTCGTTTATGGTATTGGTTTGATAGGTTAAAAACAATGGCTGGTATTGAACAGCAATTTGACAATATTACAACTAAGCTGGGGAGAAACGCCATTAGAATTTAAACACAATCTTAACGTTAGAGAGAAACGCGAAACGAAGGACCCGTATGGTGTGGTGATGGACACGTTAGCTCCCGGGAAGGCTAAACTCAATGAGTGTAGTGGATGAGCCAGAGTATCGTAGCCCATTTTATTCCACTCTTATGGTCATTTAACGTGTGATTGAGTGTTGTTCACAAAAGAATTGGACTCTTTCTTTCGAAAAATTCATGCGCTGCAGTTGTTAAGGATTCTGTCGGTTCCATGAGAGTACTACTCTGTTGTTATCCCTTTCGTCCGTATTAGAATAGTTGAGGTTAACTAATCCGCCTGCAGACCAACAGACGCTGCTCATATTCCCGGTTCATCTACAACGCTGAACGTCGTGATAATCGTTTAGGATCCATTTTCATCCAAAGTTGTAATGATTTCATGAAAATATTCATATCTGCGGTGTAAGTGGTGCGTAGAACAGGCTTCTTAACGGTGATCCTTTTGTCTTCGTTCAACTGATACAGCATCCGTTTCGAGAGTTTTTCCAACTTTTCAGTGTCCTTTATATGGTAAACTGTTGTGAATTGCTAATCGTTAGCTAATTTTTAAATTATTCCAGATGTTTCTATTAATTCTATTCCGTAGATATCTCTTCATTTTGCAATATACCTTTATTGGCAGAAATTCCGTTTAGCAATGAAGTTTGAGGAATTTTTTATCGTTTATTTCATTTGACCCGTCTTCCTGTCTACTGTACAGATCCCAGCACCTCTCGCATTCGATTCGTTTCCTCGCATCCATTGTCCATGGAGATCTTCCAACTTTAACGTGTGGCTTCGGTTGCTGCTTGAGGATTTTCACTTCATGTTGAAAGTCTTAGAATGCTAGTCGGGAAACTCTCCCTGCAGTCCTGAGATAACCGGGATAGAGCGCTTCCAGTTTGACTGCAGAGAGTGATTTTTTCTCAGACAGGTCCGGTACTAATTTCCCGACCACGGAGGGTTGAGAGGCTTCGTTGGCCGGAGCGGAGTCGAACCACCACGACGCTCGTGATGACGGACATCACTACCACTGGGCTATCCAACCCTGGTTTGAGGAATTAATGCTAGAGAAACGCCCGGACGCCGCTTTACTGAATATGGACGCCGCTTCACTGAATATCACTACACTCACCTCTGTACTCATCATTTGACCTTCGATGCCACCACTTGGTCCATGTTTCAATACCAATCTCGAACTCTTTTTTCGGGAATAAACATTGGAATTGTCGTTTTGTCACCGTTGATGTCTTGAATTGTATGAAAATGACTCTCATTTCTATACTGTCGTTTTCTTCATGACGTTGTTCCCGTGAACTGGAACTGATGGCTGATTTCCTATCCACTATGATCAAGTTTAACAAGGAGTCTATGTTTGTTCTTTGAGACATTTTTTCGGCTCCTACGAAAACATGCAGGAACAATAACGGTTGTGAGACATTATTATATCGAGGTTATGAAACCTTGAGAAAGAAAGCACATTTCTTGGAGGTGATCAGTGAGATACAAATAATGGTCGTGACTTCGATCTCCCACCTCGGGACAACGAATATTCATAATTTCGGTTTAAGCAAATTGATACCTACCTACCTATGAGGGCAGCAGCACTGAGTTGATATATTGCTGGGCCACTGCAAGTCATTATTTAGGGCAAATATGCATTCAGCCACCTTTACAAGACTACGAATAGAGTCGAATGCGTGGCTCATCCCTTACGGATCAACCGCAGGTGCTTTCTTTTGTTGTTTTTTTTGCAGTGCTGCTTACATAAGCACTTGGTGCCAAATTCGCGAACTTAAGTGTCACACCTCGTATATTGCCTTCTATTAAGCGCTACTATCTCTGGGTGTTTTGGCATAAATAAATCTAGCAACAGGTGATGATGGCATTTGTAGATGGAAAACTGTCTGAGAGACAAGCAAAATGAAAAGTACTAGTAAATTAGTTCTAGTAAAATCTTACTTTTTGCATTTCTAGAGTTTGGTTTTAAATCTGAAAATGAAAAGTTTTGGAAAGAAATTTCATTCCTACAAAGCTAGTTATTCACTTCCTGTCTGATATTCAATTCGTAAATTATTCTTGTTATAAAAAAACAGCTTTAAGAAGCGCGTGTGGCACAGTGGTCGGAGGCGCCCTGCAACACACACGTGGAATCGGTTCCGCGCACATGGAACACCAAGCCTTCCATTCCTCCGGGGTCGGCAAATTGGTACCAGACTTGTCTGGGAGGATAGCAGCACTGGCTTGGTATATCAGTAGGCCACTGCAAGTCATTGTAAAGGCCAAATATGCATTCAGTTACCTCTAACGATACTTAATGAAGTTGAATGCATGGCTAATCCCTCAGGGTCTGATCAACGTCGAGAGCTTTATCCTTTATGCTTTTATAGAAAAATGGTTCTATGAAGGCTTATGAGATTTGGATCTCGTCAGTTATACGCCAGCGAGTAAAGCACAAATTCAACGACTAGTTAGGACAAAATTTCTTTCGAATTAAGCGTTTTGATACTGCGTATTAATCACAATCTTAACCTTTTTATTTACTGTCTAATCTTTTTAACGGCAGCGTATGTTGCGAAATATAACTTTTATAATGCTGAGATATTTGCAAAACCCCGGACCACAGGTGTCTGGGGGAACCAACGCCCTATTGTCCTTTCCGGGGAGTAACGCGTTCACCACCACACCATGCGGGTCCTTCGTTTCGCCTGTCTCTCAGCTAGTTCTGCGTTTTATTTAGTTTTTTTGTTAGATTGGACAAACAGGTCTGCAGCAATGTCCGCTTATACTTGTGATGGTAATTAGTGAGAAAGCGCTTAGACGTAGTAGATCCGGACCATACATAACATGGTTTACAATTTTTCAATTGCATTTTACTGCTAAGGTCCAAAAATATCGTTTTGTATAGTACGCAGTGTGTACTTTTTTGATATTGCTCAGATAACGTAGCTGACCTCCCAACGGTTTACCGCCTTATCGTGGCTGGGAGGTGTTCCTGAGTGTCGGACTGCGATGTACAGCGGGGGATTCGTCCTCCTGGCAAGGTCTCCCAGGCTGAGAAGGAGTCCGGCGTTTCCATCAAGAAGTCTAGCTAAGAGTAAACCAATGCCAGATCCACCACCGTCCTGGTATTAAAGTCGCATGGTGACAAATCTCTCTCTGATCCACAAGTGCTGCTACTGCCTGTCGTGGTGACGACCTGGGGCAGACTTTAGGCAGGCTGTCCTCGGGATTCCAGGGAACCAGCAAATCTCCCAAATCTCCAAAGAATGGTGATTGTGTTGGGGTCCGCGCAACTAGTGAGGACGGGCCATTCAAGTATCAAGTAAGTAAGTAACGTACCTGAAGAAAAAGGGTAAAGCTTTCAATGTTAATCAATCCCTGAGGGATGCACCCTGAATTTGAGCTCATTAAGCGTCTTTGGAGGTGATTGAGTGCATATCTGGCCTTTATAATGACTCGCAGTGCCCTACCGATTTGTCGGGTCAGTGCTATTGTCCTCACAGACACGTCTGGTACCATTTTGGCGACCTCGGAATGGGAAAGGTTTGGTGAGTCTGGGGCGCAGTATCGATCCTATGTGTTTTGCAACCCGTCTCTAAGGACTGGGTTACACGCGCTCTATAACGTAGGTAGGAATGAATACTGATTTAACCTGGTTTGGTGGCGGTGGTTTAATAAAATTCTGCAGCGTTTCCCGTTTAGCTATCTTGTGTTCAATTTCTGCAATGGTCGCTGCTGCATTTCGTTTCTTGACTACTGTATCGTTCTCCCAAATTGTGATCTGAAAGCACTAGAGTGTTGTGTAACGTGGCTATCCTGTCAGTTTAAATAAAACTCATATCGGACATAGACTAACAAGTAAACAACGCACTTTTCAATTGTTAACTTCCACTTGACTGCAAGTTTTTGGCCGAAACGACTTGCAGAATACAATTTGCACATACGCGAATATGCCATAGATCGGTACATGAAACTAGGTACAGAATGTTTGTGCAACATCAACGGAGGAGAAAAAAGAAGTCCATCCTTTCGATCCACGTGCAGTTCTGGGAAGCAAAGGGTCACTCTTGGCGTACCTTAACAATCTAAATGCCACTGGGGCAGCGCCACGTAGTTTCATGACTAGCCGCTTCGGGATCCAGGGAGAGTCGACTGGATACCTTATACTCATCGTCCAAAAAATTGCCTGTGTCGAGTCGCAAGGCTTCGATACCTACTTAAATTCAACATGAGCACGTGCCATGTTTTGGCTTATTCAAGAAGAATGTCCTTTAAAGAATACAATTGCTAAGCACATTGACGACTTGTAAGCGTATGATGTAAGGTTATTATTAAACCGCGAACTCGCTCCTTCTCCTTATCTAACAGTTAAGTTTTTTGTGAATGTTTGAACAGCTTTGACAAAGCCTACATTATAAGGTTATGAACTTCCAGGTATGCAAGATTTTGACTCGATTCGTTTTGCCACATATCGTGCCGCTTGCAAGTTGCGGTTTGTCCAGAAAAAGACCAATGGTGAACTTTTTCTACTTTTTACTTAATCGCTTTGTATTTTTTGAAAGAATGTTGGTTTTGGCGCTTTTTTTTGCGAAGAGCTCATCATAACGGTAATGGGTGTATACAGTTGTTTGTTGATGGATTCCAGTGCACCTAGTGGATATATGGAACATGATCGAGTCGTTTCGGGAAAATGGTCTCAACGCGCTGCCCATCCACACACAGGTGGGGTGTCATTTCATTACTACCATTTCAATCACTAAATCTTTTGAAGTGGTAACCTTTTCGAAAATTTCGCCATTCTTGTCCGAGTTTTATCCGCTGCTGTTTTATTCTAATACCCAAGAAACAATCTGTCATTTCATGATTCCATGTAGGCGATAAGAATAACTCGTTGTGAATTAACGGACTGCTGGTCTAGAAGTAATTTGTTCAACTCTCAATTTCACATTTTCTTACTTATTATCCATGTGCCAGAATCTACCACCGTCCTGGTATGAAACTAGTCGCGGGGTGGCAAATGTCCGTCTGATTCACAATTGCGGCGACTCTGTGGTGGTGGTGACCTGGGGCAGACTTTGGCCAAACTGACTTCGGGACTCCAAGAAAACACAATGGGTAAACCAACATAACTCCAAAAAATGGAGAATGTGCTATGGTCCGCACAAACAGTAAAGATGGGCCATCCAAGTATCAAAGTATCTAAGTATCCACATGTGAGCGTGCAGATCAGTTATTTGAGGTGTTCTGTGGTATATACGTGGTCCTTGGTTCAATCCCGCGCTCTAGGCTAACAAAGTTCATTAATCCTCCCGCATTGGCAGATGATTGTTAGTGGATTTGTTAAGGAGGATGAAAACACAGACTTGGTGCTGTAGGAATTCAAATAAATAACATGACAGTATATGTCTTGAAGAATTTCTTATGAAGAACTGACAATTGCTTTAAAGGCTTTCTTTTTGAGGTCTTTCAAATGTTTTCTTTTGCTTCATCGTGGAGGTGAAAGCTTTCGATAATAGCACTTTGTGTGGTTAGCAACGTGCGACGTCGGACTAAGTAAATAATTCTTTAAATGGCTCATACTAGCGCGCGCATGCTGCTTTGCATTAGGAAAAGCTAGTCATAGAAGTAATTGCTTCACAATGGACGGATACCGCACAACATTTAGCGAACTGCAGGTGAAGTGGAAGAATTGTTATTAGTAGACTGAAAAAAATACCTGACAACATCATTTGAGCTTACACGACGTTGATACGAGATGTTTATTCGGCTAACGTTTCGACGTCTTCGTCTTCGTCAGAGCCGATGATCCGAATAAACATCATGTGTTTATGGAGAGATTTACGGATGTTACTAGAGCAATGTTATAGCTTCAACAGTTGAAAACCAGCAGTATTCTGGCTTTCCTTAGACACCGGCAGACATCCAGGGACTGAAAATAGGGTTTCCTTCATTTTTGCTGGGCTTGAGAATTCATCAGGTCGCCCCATTTATTTGTTGTTTCCAGATCAAAACATCTCGAATAGAGCTGTTATTAACCTCCATCTATCATAATTTGAACAAACGGCTCGTTTCTTCGCAACATATTGATACTGATAGATCGATATCGTTGTTACTTAGCTTTTTACTAGGAACATATGACAAGTAAGTGTTATTCATAGAGGTCAATTTAATTGCGACATTTTTTGCAAGGTGCTTTTTTCTATTTCAGGCAACAGACGGGCCGTTTAACAGTGTTCTCGATCAAGATAGCCTTAGCGACGATTTGTGCTGGAAAACTGGTAGACAAGTTGAGGTGTGAGTACTACGTTTCTTAGTCTTTTCAAATATTTTAGCGCTTATGTACAGTTCAGAATTTTATTGTCAAATGAGACCTGACCTTCCTTGATTCATAAATGAATTTTGGCTTCGTTGAGTAGTTGTAGCACCTCAATAAACGTGCAAACGAAAGTCGTACGTGGTAAAGTCGGTGTCGCCTAGTTCAATCACGGTAGTGCGCGTTCATTAGCCCAAAACTCCAGAAGCTGGTTTTTGATAAGTGACAGCAGTTTCTCGATCGCTAGAGTACCCTATGAATTCAAAATGTCATAGAACGTTTACATAAGAGACGTTCATCTATGACATTTATTGCTTATATAAATTTTCTTTGGTATTCCTTCGTTTCTAAATATCTTAAGAGTTCCCAGGACCGACTTTCTATTAAGCTCAGCATCCATCAAATAATTCACAGTTGATGAGCAGATACGAGGTTGTTGGCAGCAAGATTTATTCACCACAAGCCTGAATGACTTTTCTGCGGTTTCGGTTTCTTCAAAGCCGGTTTGTTCTTCTTAACTGTTCCATTTATTTAATAGAGGCCGGCCGCACAGTCTTACATGGAGCAGGAACGTTCCAGCCTCTATTGCACTCAATAAATCTTGTTGCTAACAACTTCGTGTTTGCTCATCAAGCAAACAGCGAATTACGCTGAGAATTAAAACTTTCGAAATATTAGTAATGTTATATGCTTTTAAAACCCAACGCAGGATTGGCAGCTGCAAACATAAACGATACATCGGGACCACCAACATGTTGTGTTGGACTATATTTCGTTTATTCATTTGCTTTAGTGTTGAGGATACGAGAACTGAAGCAACAAAGTGACAGAGACATTTGTCGTGGGCTACAGAAATTCGGAGTTTCAGCATCGTAGAGGAAAAGAACCCCAATTATGTAGTCAAAGATTTGCAGCTCTGACAGTTTTCATTCAGCTTAGCAAATTTTGACACCAGCTGAGATGTGTTGGTTTCATATTATATGAGGTTATTTCTGATGTGATGAGAACTTTGCATTTCCACCTACTGGTGGACTTTGATGTCCTGCGACAAAACCGATGGAAGTCTCTTTGCCTCCTTAGAACTGCACAGCGAGTAACATTCAAACTCTTATGAAACATGTGAGACTGCTTGTCGTCAAGTGGGAATTCCAGTGTCGGTATTTCTCTTATGAACTTTCTGGTTTTCATTAAGTTGCCCACCCGTGGTGTCTTGAAGTTGGTAGTTTACTTAAGCAAATTCTTCCAAAAGCTTTCCAACTATCGAACCCATTATGCGTCAATCTGCTTCAGCATCTAAATCATCAGATAATCTTTGTGCATGGCAGTGGATCGTCCTTGAGTTTCCTCGTCTTTAAGACCATTATATCTGTCAAAACTCGTTTTAAACCAGCATTATCATGTAGCCATTCAAAGCTCTGTTAGAGAATGCATGATTGATATGCAGAAGTATTTCACTGGGCTTTCTTCCAAGTTTGTATTTAAATAATAAAATAACTCTAGTCTGCTATTCTCATCCTTACTCAAATTCAGTAAATTCAGCACAAATTGGCATGGGAAATGAAAACAGTGAAGACAAATGGGAAATCTGGGCTTAAAAATCATATATGGTACAAATCTCAAGACCAGCTATTTTTTAACCTCGGCACCGATCAATGGAAAAATGAGCAAACGCGGATTGTTATTATAGGATTTATTAAATCACAACAGCTGACGTTTCGGCGGTTTCGCTTTGTTCAGAGCCTGAAAAGGTCAAAGTGACGCGCGGTCCACTCATCCAAATACTTTACAACCTCAGCAGGGAACACTTAAAACAGGTCTTAACAAGTCTGTGACAACAACCTCTTGTTTGCTCATCAAGGAAAGCAGTAACATGCGGCACGCTAATGAAACCGTCCGAGGGTTTTTTGTTGCTAAATTGAATTTCCATACCGAGTAAACACTTGTAGTACAAGATATTTAGTCGCTTGATACTTGAACGGCCCGCCCTCACTAGTTGTGCAGGCCCTAACATAGTCACCATTTTTAGAGATTTGCTGGTTAAGCCATTGTGGTTCCCTGGAATCCCGAGGACAGCCTGGCCAAAGTCTGCCCTACGTCGTCATCACGACAGGCAGTCGCATCCCTTGTGGATCAGAGAGAGATTTACCAACATGTGACTTTGATATCAACACTATGGTGGATCCTAGTATTGGTTTACTCTTAGCTAGGCTTCCTGATGGAAACGCCGGACTCCTTCTCAGCTTGGGAGACCCTGCCAGGGAATGGATCCCCCGCTGTACATCGCAATCCGACACCCAGGAACACCTTCCAGCTACGATGAGGCGGCAAACCGTCAAGTGGTGTAGTAGCAGATATGATCACCAATTGAATTTTGACTATGTTAACTTTTTGATTTACTGTCTATTACTATTTTTCACTGCAGGATATTGTATGTGATGCAACCGCATGACATCTGTGGTCCGGAGTTTTGCAAATATCTCAGCAGCGCTAGATTCTCACTTTTAAATTTGACTACTTATTATTTTCTTTACTTTTCAGATATGTTCTCGCAAATTTCCGACTCATCCGGTTTTCTCGAATACGATCGGTTTACGGATTTCTTACAGCAGGTGATTACCTTATAATGAGATTCCTAGCAGCTTCTTTCGTTCAGAATCATCTCCGGTTAGTCGGGCCGTTGCCAGTCATTCTAGAATAAACTGTGATGTCTACTAATGAAGTAAACTGTTGTAACCTGTACAGGTGCTTGCATTGACCACAGCCGTTTTTGAAGCTCCCACGTTCGGCTTCTCAGAAAATGTCATGTCGCAGTTTTTCTCGAAGGTGTTGTTTACATTATCGATTCCATTTATCGTTCTTTTGTTGGAAGTTGCTTTTAAAACTCCTGAGCTCTGAGAGGACAATAGCGCGCGTTCATTCTCCATCGCAGACACCTGTGGTCCGGAGTTTTGCAAATATCTCAGCATTATAGTAGTTATATTTCGCAAATACCCTGCCGCTAAAAAGGATAGGCAGTAAATAAAAAGGTTAAGATTAAAGAGACTATTTTCATACATCGTACTTTTAACACAAATAATTTTATGGATAGATTTGTTCGAAGATTTCCAAGCCTTGGCTGCTGCGTATTTGAGATGACTTGGAAAGTGTTGACGTGCTTCGCCCGGTTACAATACATTGTTCTTTGACTTACAGGACCAACATGTAACTCTGAACAACTTTCTGGACGTGTTCATGTCCGACCCATGTCCACCCTGTGTAATGTGGCTTCCATTGTTGCATAGAATGGCTTCTGTGGAACATGTCTATCATCCAGTCGTCTGCGACGCATGCCAGGTTAATTATGGTGATGGTAAATTTTTTCCAACATAGTAAGCATGAAAAAGAGATGTCTAGGATTTACAATGAATTTCTACGGAAGAAATAGTGGCCTACTCAAGCAAAGTATAAGAGTCGGTGTCAATCGAATAACGGTAAACGTCGTACAGAGCACTTCTTTGTTCTACAGATGTATGCTCGCAAAGTGAAGGAAATTAAACGGGAAACTCTCACCACAAAAGGACGAAAGCGTGGATTTTTTATTGGTCTTTTATTGTTAGAATTTATTCTGGTTGAGAAAACCAATTGAAGAACATAGCCAGGGAGCGAAAACGTAAGAAAATTTCTGTAAAAACTCTTACGCAGCTTAGGTACGGAATTTGTCATCTTTGCTATTAGTTGCTTGGTCGTTCATCGAGTGAATAAAATGAGAGTTTCCATCCGTTACATTTTTGCACACCCATTGGTCTTTTCCGTTCCCTGATGTTGGAAGCATCATATATAATTCTACGACAATTCAAATCTAACAATGATATCGGGTACTATACTCGAGGCATAGAGCATTTGAGTTAGTCAATCCCTAAGGTATCCGCGTTACCTTGAACTCTACTAAGCATCCGTGCAGTGATGAGGACTCACTTTTGTGAGGACTCACCTAGTCCTAATTCTTGCAGTTTGCTTATCTCATTAATAGCTGCAGAAATTTGTTCGGCACCTTCAACGTCGTCTTTGACTCACTAGTTCTTCCGGAAATACGACAATATAAGCGAAGCGAGAGTTTAGTAAGAATCGCTGCGGGCCTATTTCCCATCAGTACAGTAATGGGTGAATGAAAAATCGTGCTTGTGTGGTGTTTTTTGCAATAACAGTCGTGAAGTTGCTCGTTCGTGCGATATTTCCTTCTCAAACTTGAGTAATTAAACCGTTCACATAGCAATAGTAAGGCAACAATACCGAAATGGCGATAATAAGACATAAGTGTAAAAATATAAGCAATAACGTGACCCGTAGGTATAAATAGTATAGAGAGCAATAAGGAGCACTAGCAATGGTAAAATTTCTTGTGCAATAGTGTTATAGTGATAAAAACATAAGGGATAAACCTTTCGGCTTTGATTGATCCCAGAAGGATGCACCATGCATTCGACTTTACTAGATATCGTTAGAGGTGACTGAATGCATATTTGGCCCATACTTTAACTCGCGGTGGCCTGCCGATGTATTTAATCAGTGTTCCTATCCTCACAGACAGGTCTGGTTTTAATTTAGTGATCCCAGAAGATTGGAAAGCTTGGTGAGTCTGAGACGCGGGATCGAGCCCATGTGTAGTGCAGATCACGTCTAACCATTGCGCTATATGCGTTGTAGTGATATGATACAGAAATAGTGATACTATACATTTGTGCCAGTGGAGTATGATTGAGCGGAACTGTGTAGGATATTGTCATGTGTCCAGAGATCAATATTGGAGCTGCGGATGGCCTGTGCCTACTTGACTGTAGGCTTGGTTGAGGATCATGACGTAAACACACAAAGCGCAAAAATGAAGAAAAAGTCGGTAGTATACATGCGCTAGGTCGAGTAGCTATGAACTGCATTTTGTGATAGCGATCGATTTATACTGAGAAGGATCAGAATAATGGTAGTAACATAATCAGTGAGGGCTCAGTAAAGAACATAACAATACTAAATGAGGGCTTAATGAATAGAATGGCTGGGTAAACCATTGATTTTTAAATGTTGGTCATTGAGTTAAGTTACGTTATAGATGTTACTAACCATTCCTTCGATTTTATAGGGTAAGTAATGGTGGACGTTGTCGATAAAGATATTACTTTTACGTTTTCTCTTAAATAACGAATCCAATCGTTTGTTCAAGAGTGATAATAGATTGGCAGACGTTTTGCACTGTCCAACACTTTTTCGTCGCCAAGAAAGCTTGGCGGAAGAAGCAGGTGGTGTTTCTCATAGCCACCTACGACACTCGGTGTTTTTGACGCAAAAACCAGTTCTTTATATGCATAATTTGGAGAACTTCGTGAACAATTTGCGGAATAACAACTAACATGAAACAAACAAATCGGGTAGTGGTTTCGAAGATTTCTTATGCCGTCCATCTATGGCTTCCTGCACGAATTCCACCGGATTCTTTCTTTCGAACATATGTTGCCATGCCTATTAAGGGAACTGAGAAGCTCGTGACTAGAAGTTTTTTGGGTTGGGAGCGAGAGTTGTGGTAAAAGAAGAGTTAGAGTAAAACTTTTCACTGTTAACTACGCAATATAGCGGTGGTGGTAGTAATCTTATCTTTATTCCTCGCGGCTTATAGGAGAACTCTGTATTCGCATAGATTCCTGTCATGTTTTTTTTTTACAACGGATTTATATGCTATGTGTTAGTTGGCCAGTAGAATGTAGAGTAGGCGTTGGTCGGATTTGTCCTCTGTCCGCCAAATGTAGGTGGAATGTTCGATTTTGTATGACTTCGCCACACGGGACTTTTTTCGTAGCCGTCGTGAACAACTTCGAGTTTGGGCTAAAACAGTTTTTAGCAATAATAACAATACAATAATAACAATATGACGATACCTAGTTAGGTGAACGAATACCGGCGAAGCACTTGTGCGAACACGGGAGCACTGTATGCAGAGATGCTGGGGCACTGGGAGTACAGAGGCTCATACACCCAGTGCTGGAATAGTGCTCCATGTATTCCTTCTGTAATTGGTGGTACTTTTACAGAAGGAATCACAGACAGTGCACAGAAAGTGGTTTTGAAACTTTTTCAGCTATTATGATCTGTACAGCTACTTGCACAGAAGGTTCGTGAAGTCTATGCAATATCTTATACAGAAAGTGATGTGAAAGCGAGCAGCTGTTCGCACGGAAAGTTGGTCTGAGAGGCGACACAGAGGCTTATAAAAACATCATGTGTAAGAGATGGAATAACTTGTGCAAAGGCTCAAACAGAGTGTTTATGTGAAAGCGATACAAAGCGTAGAAAGCAAAGTAAATGTGGCCAGCAGTAACTGTAGTTAATATTGGAGAAATATGGAATATAGAAAATAGGAACTATTTGAGGAATATTTCGAAACCGACCTTCCCTAAACCTCGGTGTGACAAATCAATATGTATTCTTTCTTGATAAGCTTGCACGAGGTTGATAAATATATTTATTTTCGGCTAACGTTTCGACGTCTTCGTCTTCCTCAGAGCCGGTGATCCGAGTCGATGGTCCATGCTTGTTGTTGTTCGCCTCGACGTTGCGTCTTCGCCTTCCTGTCGAGCCAGATCTTCCTCAGCGAGCCATCTTCTCGAATGAGGCATCCTCACTCAGTGATGCCCTTTTATACACGATGCTGATGGTAGATATATAATGACAATGTCCGGTGGTAACAACTTGTATTTCTTCCGGACATACACCATTGCTAGCTGATAATACACCGACCTCTGCACGATGTGCGCAATGGTGTATGTCCGGAAGAAATACAAGTTGTTACCACCGGACATTGTCATTATATATCTACCATCAGCATCGTGTATAAAAGGGCATCACTGAGTGAGGATGCCTCATTCGAGAAGATGGCTCGCTGAGGAAGATATGGCTCGACAGGAAGGCGAAGACGCAACGTCGAGGCGAACAACAACAAGCATGGACCATCGACTCGGATCACCGGCTCTGAGGAAGACGAAGACGTCGAAACGTTAGCCGAAAATAAATATATTTATCAACCTCGTGCAAGCTTATCAAGAAAGAATACATATTTGAGGAATAGTTACTAAATGCTGTCTTATGCCTCGTTTTTCTCTCCATTGTGCTAAAAGTTTTGCCGTAATGATTCTTTGCGGGTGGATTTTATTGCTAGTGATATCAGGCATATTATAGCCGGATCTACTTTAGGTTTCGTTTCCTCTTTCAAGAACCTCTTAATTGTAGTTGAGATCTATTGTTCTTTACCCAAACTTCTCCATTAAAAGCATGAGACGCCATCGGCACGGAATTTGATGAGTTCGTCGGTTTTCTTTGATTTAGCAATTCTGGAAGAAATCGGTTTCGTCCAGAATGTTCTTGTTATTCACAACTTTTATTTTTGTCCCTAAGCAATGGTAGAACTTATTTTTCGGCTTAAATCGATTGATGGAGCCGAGAAATGGATGTGATTCAGCGCAGAATGATGGCGCGTTTGCGGTTAAATACCGTCTTCTACTTGTAAGGATGACCGATCTCCAAATGAATCGTGCTTCTTTGCGAGATTCTTGTTTATAGGGTATTTTCCTTCTTTAAAAAGAATTAATTTCCAGTGGAAGGGGCTGGGTATGGGCAGCATCCTAACAGGACTTATTCCACTCCCATTTCAGTTTCCTAACTCAAGCTTGTGGCGGCTTCTATGTTCATATTCACTAGCATTTATATTCTTGCATTTGGAGGAAAACTGAAAAATTTCAGAAATCCTCTAAATTTATCGGTGTATTGTATATTTTTGGATTTTATTAGTCTCGTGATCTCCTAGTTGATATCAGTTGCTTGGACCATCACATCTTCAATAATATTAATAATTCAAGGATAAAAGAATAAAAAGCTCTCGGCGTTGATCAATCCCTGAGGTATGCGCCATGCATTTGACTTCATTAAGTATCGTTCGAGGTGACTGAATGCATATCTGACCTTTACAATGACTCGCGTTGGCCTACCGATATATCGAGCCAATGCTGCTATCCTCTCAGACAATTCTGGTATCAATTTTCCGACCCCGGAAGGATGCAGGGCCGTGGGGGCCATGGGCGCCGGGATCGATTCCACGTGTGTGTCGCACTGGCGCCTCCAACCACTGCGCCACATGCGCCCTCATCCAGGATACGGCGACTGAAAGGTCAAATCTCCAGTGAGCTCGGTGATTTCCATAACGCCTTCCAAGCGAATGAATACTTTTTCATCACTGAACATGGTACTACTATATGCTCCAGTTCTGGCTGCAAAAATCGCATTTGTCTTAATAGTAACTTTGTCGGATCCCTTGTGAAACCACATCGAGAAAGATGAATGCAGTAAACAATAGGAGATAGTGCGAGGTTTTTGAACTGTTCCTGTGACAAATTGTCTTCACTTTTACCTTGCTTCAAATGCCTATGCAGCTCGACTTCTCGATGTTTTAAGTATCCTAGGACGAAGGAAACTCCCGCACAAGGTCAAATTAAACATCGCTTGGGTCGATTGATTTAAACCACTTTAATTATCATTATCAAGTTTTTGAAGTTGTATTTCGGATAAGATTCAGAACCTTTAATATCGTAAACAATCTGTTGATCAAAGGCTTATAATGAGTTTCAAATTCAGATACAATCTTTCACTGGCTTTCGCTATAAATGTCAACGATGTTCGAACTATCAACTCTGCCAGAATTGCTTTTGGCGGGGACGAACGAGTCAAAGTCACTCGAACGAACACGAAATGAAGGAGTACTCGAGTTATGTGAGTGGATTCCCGCATGGGCACTCCTATTCTTCAGCTCCTTCTCTTGATTTCCTACTAAATTCATATTTTAGAAATCTCCTACAAAGCAGTTGGCGCATTCGATTCACAAATCGCTTCAGTGCATCCCTTCCACAAATGCTAAGCAATCTCCACTATTTGCCGAACGCCCACAACGACCATTAGAATTGCAAAATATTGTGCCATCAACACCGACGACTTTACGGTATGTCTTGGTAATATGTTTTTTTGTAGAACCTACGTTGAGGTGCCCTTTTTGACGGAAAATACAAATAAGAAACCGGAGACGATCTGGTTAAGATATATGGAAAATATTCGTCAATTTCAGGGTACTTCAATTTCATTTCGTTATCTCATAACGTGTGATACAGAATTGTTAACCGAAAACTTCTATACAATCTTTTTTGTTCTTTTAATGAGCACACTGCTCATCATGGGAACAGTAAGTTTTTCGACAAGATTGAGACTAACAGGATGTCGCTCTAAGGAATTGCAATCTTTTCTCTCTCATAATCCATGTCAGAAGAGCTAACATCCTTGCTTAAAAAGAAGTGCTCCGATTCTTCCCATGTGAAATTCGAATTGCAAAGGCACAGTTTAAAAGCCAGGTAAAGTCGCGACCGGCTTCCTTCGAACTGAAAGTCGCGGATATAAATGGTCGTCATGTCCAAAAACAGCGATCGAAGGGATCTTCATAACCAGCGCCTAATATGCATATTGAGCATGCCTTACAAGCTCTTTGAGGATATTATTCTATCTCGCGTAGCAAAGACTTTGGATGAGGTACTATCAGCTGATTAAACAGTTCGGATGACTTTGCTGTTGGACATCCAAACCAACATAGACGCCCACTGGAAATACTCTGGCCTTTATCCTAGCGTTTTTCGGCTGTGAAAAAAAAAGTTTGACAGAGTCGAAACGAATACGTTGTTAACAGCTTTTGGCGATCAAGGAGTAGGCTTATTAAATAAGGACCTTAATTGACTCTTATCGTGAGAGCACTTCGACAAGGCAACAACATCTCCCTAGTGTTGTTTACAGCGGCACTGTAGTTGATAATGAAGTCGCTCGACTGTGACGAGAAAGTCATGCGCATTTATGAGAAATTCCTATCAAATCTGAGTTTTGCTAACGACCTCATTTTCAGTGAGCTGCGAAGGTATGAGAATCGAATTAGATGGTTTTCTGATTACAAAGACAACATCGTCTGTGTGTTTTGGGCAGTAGCAAAGAGAACATTTTGATGGAGGAACTATACAGAAGAAGGAGAGCAATATTATCGCGTTTGTGCTTCTCAGAGATTTCGTCTACCAACTAATTACTGTGGAATTCTGCACTCATCTTTTTTGAATTGATGATCCTCTCAACGATCCCCTATGCAGCAGAGGCGTCGGTTGAGACCTCATTCACCTCAAGAATTGTGCGCATCATCCAGAGAGCATTTGAAGGGGTTGAACTATCGAACGTCGAAAACGATGCACAGGTAGGTTAATCATGTGATGGAGACGACTGGCAACAGATGGACGAGAGGAACGCTGAAGTGCACGCTCTTCAGGATGTAAGCATAACATGCGACGACCACCTGCCAATGGTGCGGACCTATTTGTTGCTCTCGTAAATCTGCATTTACAGCTTATAGCGATTTCTTGATTATGGGACAGAGTGTGTGTTAGAAATTCTGTTCAATAATATGCACAAGGCTGCTGATTTGACCACGCCGAGCTTAGTAGTCGTTCCAAGGTTGGGAAATTGGTGGCAGACTCCTTGTGATGAACAACCTCAGATTTGGAACAGCTGACGATTGCCTAAGAAAGAATTGGGTAAATGGCACAGCAGCGTCCGGTTTTCAATTTGAATACATCTAACCAATATTCAGCGATGAGCGTAAGAAAGACTAAAATCCCAAATCAGCATCTGAACTCACACAAGTCTGATACAACGATGTCTTCATGAAAACGAGTCCAATGAAATAAGTACTTTGATCTTCCCAACATACGTAAGATCATGGAATGAATAAATGCAAAGATACATCCACTATAATACTGAGATATCTGCTAATCTTAGACTGCAGTCTAGATTTAAACCTGCGATTGCCCTTTCCGCTGACTCACGTATCACTCACTGTACCTTTGAGGCTCTCGATTTGCCTTTCTCTCACTCAGTTTTCTACGTGACTGTTCCATCAGCGACCACCCGTTAACTGGAATGATCTGTGCAGCAAATATCCGCATTGAACATAGTTAAGCTGAGGCTGTAGTCGAAATCACAATCTTAACTTTTTATTTACTGCCTATTATTATTTTTCCCGGCAGGGTATTATGTGAAATATGTCATTCCCGTTTACTGGTGATTCTGAGAGTGCCGTTAGATAGAAAAGTGGCTGAGAGAAAGACAAAACAAAGACCTCAGTGGTGCAGAGGTCAACTCCTGAGCCTACGGAAAGAGTAACGGCAGGCTCGATCTGGTCTTGAGATCAAGTTTCTCAAATATCTCAGCGTTATAATGCTTCTATTTCACGTCATATCCTGCTGGAAAAAAGTGATAAGCAGTGAATAGAAAGTTGAGAGAATGAGAAGATATTTGACTAGAAGGAATGTCTCTGTAATTTGGCTTTTTTTGCATTATAAAGGATTCTGGTTTACAACACATACAATGCTTTATGAAATGCTTATTTGGTGATATGATTCAGTATAAATAATCACTGGTAATAGAAATACTTCTAGTTGGGAATTGCATAAGATCAATATATGTGAAACAGACATGAAGATGTCGTGTAAAAAAAGCGTAACAATTTCCTCTGTCTTTGATTAAATTTCTGCCATAGTCCGTGGCTCTTCTCAAAAAACCACAGAGATTCTCAAGAATTAACTGCAGACGAGCCGCACCAGATCCAACTCCGGTTTGGCAATCAGCGCTGGCGTTGCTTCCAGGACAGTTGTCAAACGGAGGTGCCCTGGATGACGAACACAAGTTGATCGCCAGGTATTCGGCGAAGCTGAGTGGTCGAGCCGATGTGAGTTTTTTACTAGCTGTTATTTTCTTTCCGAAGCCACCAAAGCAGGATGAAATAGATGAAAATCGCTAGGAAGCTGTACCGTTTAGCTTTCTATTCCAGAAAATTCGCTAAGAAGCTACACCTTTTTGCTTTTTATTCCATGACATTCAAACTACGCGTTTTTCGACGAATAGACGAGTCGCAGCAATTACCACCTAGTTTTTGCTTCAGTTTTTTCCACCATATTCTTCTACTGTGAACGTAACGGAGCTGATTTCGGTCGATTCGGTTGAAGTTGTAGTCTATCTCTACTATTTGGTTTTTTCCCTTACCCTTGAGTTAATTTTTCCGTACTTCCAGACCTTGTTAATCAAAGGTCAAGAAAATCCACTTTTTCTTTTACCATCTGTTGAAAATTCTTCAAGAGATTTTCTCCTACAGTTGCCATTAGGTTACAGTATCCGCTTGGAAGTGGACGAGAAATTTCAAGTAGCCATCCTGTAGATGAGAGAGCGTTGATCGCCCGATTGGAAGAAGAAAATTCGCATATGATGCAGGAGATCACCCGATTGGAGAGTCAGGTGGTGTAACTGCTTTGATTCTCCTACGTTTAGCTTATCGTATCATTCTCGTATTGGGGCTCGAATGGACACTCCTATAGTCAGATCATTTAATTCGAGATCATTCACGAAGTTGCAGCGGAGCTGAAAAATGACTGTGTCAGGTGACCAGTCATCTGAAAGTCTAAGAGAAATAGGATCGAGATAGGATGTTATTTTAACGGTCAATAATGGGCGAAATTCGAGAGCAAGAATGTCTTCGTATTTTTGTTGTGCAAACGCGAGGTGTTATTATTCTTTATTCACGAATAAACTGACGTTTCGGCGGATTTCGCCTTCCTCAGAGCCTAGAAAGGCCAAGCTGATAGCAATCTACTCGGCCAAACGCCTCCATAACCAAACAAAGAAATTCTAAACCAAGATTTCAATCACATTGAACACAGCTCTGCACGCTCACCGCATTCTATGAGGTTTCCACTAAGTGTGTCACGTAGAGACCAACCGCACAGAAATCACGTGGAAGTAAAATGTGCCCCTCCCATCAGAATAGCAGTCTTATATACTGCCCTATATCACGCGCGATAATGAGGCATTCTTCCCTGCGGTTCATTTTCGGATTTCTGGAGTTAATCCAGAATGCCTCGAGAGTTTTTCGCGCCTGTAATCTTGATTCGCGTGCTAGGATCGTGACACATACTTCGAAGTCCTCCCCGTTATGTCTCTGGGTCCTATGCGTGCCTAGCGGAGTATTTGGTCTATGTTTGCCGGCTAGGTGTTTTTTATGCGGACACAGAGGGGTCTGCCCGTTTCGCCAATGTATTCGTCACCGCACGTCTTACAGGAGATCAGATAAACTATACCCGAGCTCATGCAATCACCGTCTCTACCAC